TATCAAAATTATGTAAATTAAACTGCTCTGGTTAACAATACTTTAATATTTTTTAAAAAGTTCAAGCTGCTAAGTACTTGGCATTATATTATTTGAAAAAAAGAGCAAGGTACTCATCACCGCCCATCACTCAACCATGACCAAAAATCCTATTTCTAGCGCTTTACTTTTTAACGGCCATGGTTAAAATGCCATGTAACTTTGATACTGGTCAGATAAAGTGGACTCCGCTTGAGCTAGCTCGTTTGAATCTTCTGCATGATAACCAATGAGAGAACTTTCAGTTGTGGCAGAATTTATATGCAAAGTATACATGCCAGTTGTTTTATACATTACCAGGATCTAACTCATTACCCTAGTTCTCTAATAAGCAGTGTGAAAGATAATTTAACCAGCTGTGCCACAAGAGCACCCTGGAGCAAGCTATTAATCCTTTTCAAAAATCAAATAAATTAAATTTCAATTTGAAATGTTAAAATTTTTAAAAGGAGTTTCACAGTCGTAAATAATTATATATCCCATGTTATCTATTTTGAGTCATAAATTCAAAGCTAAAATTTGAAATTATACACTGAAAGCTGTGATGTTAGAATAAAACATGTTTAAACATTACTTTTTCAAAAAAAATCATAACTAATTAAAAATTTATAAATCATTAGAAGATTGCCTTTTTCTTCCATGCTTACACCATATTTAAAATATAAATAAAGCATAATCTTATTTTTTTCTTCAGGTTTATATCAACTGTAAGTTTAGTAACAGTTTGAAATAATTATAATTAGATATCACTGTCAATTGTTTTCTAAAATAGCTAATGATTGAAAGTATACTTTTCATAATTATAATAAAAATTCGAAAACATTCTTCGTTGTTTTTTAAATTATTCAATCATTCTGTGAGAGAATTTCTGTGATAGCTCTCGAACGTAAACTAAGATAAACAAAAAAGCAAATTGGTATTTCAAATAAAAATGATTTCTTATTCATAGCAATCGCCACATTGAAAACCTCATACAAAATTATAATCAAACACTACAGAACAAATATAGGGCACTCTAAAAACATTCCTCTTAATATTATAATGATAAAACATAAATAATACAACTACAACAGAAATGTAAACAAAACTAGGGTTAGCTCTCTCGCTTAAACGTTTTTATAAGATTTGTAGCATTAATAATTCACTAATTAAATTGAAATGTATTAATAAAAAAGATGCCGTCGTTTCTTAGGAATAAATATAAAAATAAGATATAAGTATTAAACTTACCAAATTCAAGCATTTTTATAACATCAATAGAACATATTTGTAGACAAACTTCTTCCATCTGTGGCGTGGATGGGAGGCGATAGAAAACGTATTTCGTCATAAAATTTTTCACTGGTGTGCGCATGCGCCCGTTACATGATCGTACCGAAGAAAAAGAATTGAAGCGAATTTGAGAGGCACAGAAGTCTTTTCGTACCGCGCATTGACTGGCGTTTGCTTTGGTACCTTTAATTTCTTGTGGTGCCTCTCATTTTTAAAGGCACATTAGTTATGTGCCTCTTACGCGAGAAAATACACGGTACATTTAGCTTGTGCCTCTGAAATCAGAGGTACAGTTTTTAGAGTGTACTTCTCATTTAGTTCTCCTTATTGTGTCACGCAATCTGTATTCTGTAGTTTATATATTTTCTTCAAATACAGTTTATAATTATTTTTCAAGGAAATCGTTCATTTCGTTGTGATTAACATATTAACAAAATGGTTTCAGATAAAAGTATAATAATTATATAAACAAAACGGTCTGTCTTTCTTACGAAAAACACCGATTCTAAGAAGAAAAGATGACGAATTAGAAGCAAACTCTGAAATTCCCATTGTGTGAAATTTTTCGTACTTTTCTTTGAGGTTGATTTTCGAAGGCTCCGTCGTAATATCAAATTATGCTTTTTTTGCGAATAATATGCTGTTTTTTATAACTGCTGTAAGTTTGCAACTGTTACTCATAACTGTTAGGTCAAGGTTAGCCTATCTAAAGTCAGAGCTGTCTACGCTTATTTTGAAAATGGCGCAAAACGCCGATATGAAGAAAAGTTACAGTTTTGTAAAGCGTTTATGGTCGAATTTTTTAATATTTAAACATTTACTCCAATGCTGCATTGTCTGGGCTCTTAAAAATTTGCAGAAACTAAGAACAAGGTAGTGAATATGATAATTGTCATCTAGGTAGAAAAATGTCGCCAAATTGGCGATTTTTAAGCGAGTTTAATAACTTTTATAATATTATTTGTCTGTTTTAAAGCCCAAATAATTGTTCACTGCAAGATTATAAATACAGTTTAAAATCATCGCATTGCTTAGGCACTAAAACGTTAGGTTCTTTTTATTTTCCTTGGCGGCAGAGTTTCGAAAAACAGCGTTAAAGCAGCGATGTTAATCACTCGTGATTTTATGACTGACCACAGTTGGCCTGTCAAGTCAAATTATAGCCCACAACAACATTATAAAACATAATTTTCTGCAATTATATAATTATATATTTTAATTATGTAATACTTTTAAAAGAAATACTAAAGCATTGGTCTTAATAAAACTGATCGTAATAAAAAATCATAAGCTAAATAATATTTTTTGGCGTATAACAGTGAAATTAGTGGTTTTATGTGAATTAATTACGATTTATGAAACATATTTATAATTATTTTCGATATTGTCCCTTTTTTTACCCCCTAAACTGGCATATGATGCCTTATCTCTTCTATTTTTTCAGCTCCAATTAAAAATATTTAAAAATCAGTCCTATCTGAAAACTGTTGGAGATTAGCATAAAAAATGAACTAGGAAATTATTATGGAAATATTTTTGAGTATAGAAACTATAAAATAAGAAAATTAATCATTTAGGTAACAATGTCTAGAAAATGAATAGTTAGAAATATTTTTAAAATTAACTATCTTAGCTATTAATTTTTTCAAAAAAAAATCTTAGATTTAGTTCTCGTATTCAGTTTTGTAATCTTTTAAAAACTCCCTTTATTACACAATAACAGAAAAAAGCAAGGTATTTGCTTTAAAAATGTATTCACTATTTATCATCAAGCTTAATTTTTCTTAATTTTAATTGCACATTCTAAGCTTATATGGATTACTAATTAATTTAGATTTTATGACGTACTGCAGAGCATAAGCATGAAAGATACTTTTTTTTTCCGTCATGGCATAGTCTGGTCCCGAAATTGATTGATCGTCAAGACACACGGTTCCCAGTAGAAAACTGAAGTTAAGCATCCCTAACTGCAGTCAGTAAGAGGGTGAGTGACCACTTTAAGCAGCTTGCGTTGGGTCCGAGGGTGTGCGGTATGGGTTCTCGTGACATTATTCTACCTTAAGATGCTGGATTGGTTGTCGGACTACCAAAGCGGGAGTGCCATCCCCTCTGCAGAGGATCAAAATTGTGATGGCATGTCTTCGGATTATCCTCAAGGATGATTCCCAAACGTCGCCGATAGCCCATTGTACAGCTGTAGTTCGACATAAATAAAGTACCTACCTCATGGCATAGTAATTTATGATTTTTTTTTGTTTCAAAAATGTCTGTTTTCACTTTTTCTCAATTAACTGTTCCAGTAACTTTTCTTGTTAATAAATCTGTATTGAATAAAATGAATAGTCGTTTATACTTAAAACATTCTAATTGTCCAATACAAACCATTTATTATTTCTTAGACATTTTGAAAAAAAAAAACAAATATTAACAAACCAAAGAGTCAAAAAACTTTTGTACAACTTGGACAGAAAAATTTGTCATTACAAAGTATCTTTTGTATGTAGTACAGGGTGCCACAAATTTTTTTTAATAGTGAAATTTTTTTTATTGTAGAGTTCATTGAAACATGGTTAACCAATTAAAAATATTGCACTTTTTATTAAACATTTAAGAATTTTCTTCTTTTTTTATTAAATATGATACAGGGGAGAGGAGAGCACATGCAAACAAAGGGCACGTATAAACATAGTATTCCTTGCTCAGATAATATAAATTTCAAAATCCATAAAAATTTTCATTTGTTGGTAGCTCCAGTCTTTCTTTTCTGCAAATATTTCAGAGCAATGAACAATTCAATTTGTATAATGATGATTTCCTTAAATTAGCAGCTGTGGTATATAATTTAAATATACTTAAATCACTGACTTCTTCAAGTGAAAACTAGTTTAATTCAATAAGCTGAAATTAACTATTGTAGCATATTACTTAAACATTATGGATAAATGTATGAGACTTTCATCATCCTTATGGGGACAGTTCTGAATGGTTGAATATCGTAAAGTAAGAAAATATTGTATTAAAAATTTACGATGAGAGGGGGAGTTCCAATCTAGGCGGCCGAAGACTACCCGTGTAGTAAATGGTGACTAGTGCTAGTTAAATCTGTCGGGTCACAAATTCCTCCATGTTCTAATAACAAATTATATCTCTGGGGGTACTGAATTGGAGATGGATCATTCTCTGGTTTAGGTCATAATTGCAGTCTGTGAGTGAATGAATGAACGTATGAATGGGTCCACCCTTTAAACGGGTGTGACGTATGGGTGTGATAGAAGCCAATTTCTTGGCCATAGATGGCACCACTGGTAAAAAAAACAACCTCACCTTGTGGCTTAAAGACCTATGATTTCGACAACATTAAAAATTAACGGACATTTTCGTTGCGAAAAATTAACTATATTTTTTTAAAAAAGATAAAGAAATAAAAAATTGTTTGCATGTGCCTCCTTTCCCCCACACATATTAAATGAAACCGTGTGAAAATCATTATTCAAATATGAAGCTATTTTTTAATTAGCTTAGTAACTTATTTTGTAGAAGCAGAAATGTCTTTGTAACTTCAGTTCAGCATTTATACATTTTATTAACTCTTTCGATGTCTTTTTTACTCAATCCTTCTTCTGTTTTTTCGGGCAGTTTCTGTCCATTTCTGGCCTCAATTGTAATCGATTTTCCATCTTTTGAGAATGCGTAATTGCCATACATCATCACTGAATCGTAATCGAATTCCGACAGTAGAAGATTCTGTTCAGGATTCATCAGGAGAAATTGAGATTTCATACCTGATAATTAATAATTTATAATTAATTATGTAACTACGGTATATTAGTTATAATCTAATGTCGCTTCACTACACGCCGATGCGTAGAGTACTCCGTTATCACCACCCTTACCACACAATTTTAAAACCCTTATCCAATGGGATGTAAAAGAGAAAAACACTACAGAACAACTCGAAAATAATATTTACGTTAAAAAAAATAGTAAAGCATGCACATTAATAATTATGCCAGAAATAAAGCAAAACAATTATCACTATTGAGGATCTATCTACTTCAATCACAATTGGAAGGAGCCGTAGTGGCTTAAGGCAGCGGTTCTTAACCTATGGGTCGCGACCCAAAATTGGGTCGCGAAGCATATTTCTTGGGTCGCGATGAGTCGAACCAAAAAAGTTAGCAATACACCAAATAATAAGTAATACCAACACCTCAGAAGTCATTGTGGCTTACTCAGCCTAACTTTGACTTTTTTTTGGGTCGCGACATGTACATATTTCTCAAATTTGGGTCGCGGCTTAAAAAGGTTAAGAACCACTGACTTAAGGGATAGAGCATTAGCCTCTCCAGGTGAGCGGCTCTGAGGTGAGCCAGGTTCGATTCCCAGCGAGGTGTAGTTGATACGAACTCCGCCCCGACCACAGTGGTAGACGGATAATCGGTTAGAGTTCCCTTGCCGTCGGGCTTATCTTGGGAAGTTTTCGTGGTTTTCCTCTCCACGTAGCGCAAAACAGGTTAGTTCTAACAAAAGTCATATACGACGGTTTCTACTAATGCTAAATCCAAGAGTTGCCTTGTCTTTTGGGTTAGGTTCAAATTTACAAGGCTACGGGCATTGATAGTCGTAAACTCATAATCGCGGGTCGGGTTATAAAATAAAATAAAATCATGATTAAGGAATGCGTAATTAAAAAAAAACACACTAACATGTTCAATTGTCCGACACTGAGAGTGGGTTATTATAATATCGTCAACATGGAGGATGAGAGCTAGAAACACTTTCAAGTTTCACTATTTACTCAAACTAATTTCGATGTTTTTAAGGGGAGTCGATAAGGGGAATATATGTCAACAGAATGGGTAAATCGAAAAAAGTCAGTATATCAAGTTAAAACTGATTATCTTAACTTCGATGTACCCTTTTCTAAAACACTACTTTATCGCTTTAAAATTTTCTGGGGATATTTGAGATTCTATCTGTTGTATGCGGTGATTATGTTTTAGCATAAACAGGAATACTTTTTGAGCTATGAAAGAGTTTTGATGAAACTTTTTTAAAAGATTCCAGTTACGAATTTTTCTAAGACATATCTGTCAAAGATAAGCATTAACAGTGTACGCATGTATATGTAAATATTCTCTGGAAAAAAAACTGAGGCAATATCTTGTTTAGATGCTGAGAAAAAGTACATCTAAAAAGGTCAGTTTTAGCTTTTTTGGTATATGTTCAACCGACTCCCCTGAAACCTCTGCTTATTGCTGGTACAATAAGTGGACCATAATGGGTTCATCATGCTAAGCGCCGTAAGCAAAAGGTTAATATAGTCTTTCTCAATAGTCATTAGTCACATTTAGACATAGTTTTTGTTTTTCTTATCTTTAAACATTAATGCCACCTTTATTTTGCATACTCCTTTGCCTTGCTTTAAAAAATGCTTATTAAATACATTCATTATTTATCACCCTGCATAAATTACTCATATAAAAACATCACTATATTCAGTGCTTATCAGTACAATAGTGAGAAAATCAAAAATAATTTAGTGACCACCGTCTGTGCACAAGCTTGCTTATTACCTAAATTTATTTTGTCGTATCATTTCAATTATAGTGATCCAGGACGCACTACCTACATCGTTTATGTTACCTAACTACCTAGATCGTTTAAGTTACCTAACATATTAAATTCCATCTTAAAACAATGTATCGTATTTGTAACTGTATCTTGTAATTTTTAAATAAAAGTGTCAATTCTTCGTTACCAAGAAGGAAAGGGGCTGCTACAATAGGGAACTTGCACTCCAAGAAGAAGAAGACAACCGATACCCACCCATGTGACCTATGGCGTCAGCACTAGCTAATCCTTATCAGCAGCATGGAGTATTTAAGTTGAGCTAAGTTTCTCTACATAACTTAAAATTATAATTAAAGTTAATTAAATGCACAGCCACATCGAATTTGTTTGTTGAAATATAATTCTTTCTAGTCTACTTCTTTTACTTACTTAACTTTGATTTATTATCTGTTTATGTATTTTATTGTAAACGCGGTATATTTTTCTTGTGTGTACCTGGCAACTTCGACGCATAAAAAATCTGCTTATGCCCTACATTGCTTCGCTCTTGTCCTTGTGTAAATATATAGAGGTAAAATTGAAATCTTTGTGATAGATTTTTTTTTGTGAAAGAATATAGGTTGTGCTACTTAAGAGAATTGGTACTTAGAAGCCCGGTTATACCGGTGGGAGGCGAGAGAGTGCACAGGGAGTCTTCCCCCTTTTGTAAATTTGTAAATAGTGTAAATATTCTTTCTTTATCTTTATCTTCAATTTGTTCCCTATATTATGTATCAACTTGCGACTTATTTTTATGTATGACTCAGACTTGATTTTATCAATTATTGTTCATTCTGAGATTTAACTTAATGTTAACGCAGCACCTCCCTTCCCTTCCACCACATATTATCCAATTTAGATGAAAGAGCAGATATCCATACATGGATAGGTACTCTGAAAAAAGTTGATTAGTTAGTTAGTTAGTTAGAATTGGTACTTAAAACGCTTGGCGTACTCGAAATAGAATGGGAGGAACAGTTGCTGACGTAAACAAATATCACGTTTCAACAACCAATCAGGATCGAGATACCCAAACTACGTCACTTGCAGATATCCCATTGCTTACAGCAAATGTTATTTTGTTATTGCTTATTATTTACCGATGTGTGTGTCCATAGAAGGATTATGGAAATTAATAATCCTATTTGTATTCGGAAGTGAATAAGGAGTATTGCTGGATAATGTACGTTTCTTATTACCTTCTTGAATGTTGTCCCAGTAAATAATGAGGTATTTGTCACGATCTGATCTACTGTGCTCATGCCAGAACCCAATCGTGTGACCGAGCTCGTGAACTACGACAGCTTTATGGACACAACCTTCACCGAGGGACACAGGTTGCTCGCCGTCACCATTCATCCCGACATGTGCAAAGCAACTGAAAATAAGAGTATTGGTTGTGAAGTCAAGAATGAACACTATCTGCATAATTACTTTAATGATTGTTTATTATTGGATTAGGAAAATTCTTACCCTCAATAAATGCAACATTAACGGATGTTTGAGTAAATCGGATAAAAATTACCAATTCCCTCTTGGTCAGTCAGAAATTTAATGTCATCGATTGTAGATGGTGAAAAATATACTTTATCAAATATTTTAACGATACAGTGAAACCTCTCGGGAGTGACTACTCAATTTTCCACAGTAAAATGGTTGTTAATCGAGATTGTTCACTCGTAAGGTTTACTTCCACTGACTTCAAAATGTTATCGAAGATACTACATGATTTTTCACTAGTGATTTTAATTTTATTCGGTGCCAGTTCCATGGAGCAGTAATGCAGATTCTGTTGGCACCATGAAAACCGGTAACTGAGAGAGGTTCTCTTCTAAAGGCTTTCTTCAACATGAAGTCTATGGGGAAAGTCCCAAAAGTGGTCGTAAATAAAGGTGGTCTTTCTGGAGGCTTGACTATATGATCAAATTTAGTTATTTTTTGATCCATAACTTATTTTGTGACTTAGAAAAATCGAAAAATACATTTTTACGAATTTAATTCCAAAAAAGAACTACATTAGTTCAAAAGAATATGGTAAAATATTTATTGAATAGGAGATAATTAATAAATAAGTAAAAATAACAGTGAACAAGACGGTCATGAAAATGAAATCCACTTAATAAACTGCATAACTTGCTAAATATATTGTATAAACTACATTAGAAAATACTGCTCTTGATTCATACTAATAATGTTAACATTTAAGAAGTTATGTTGAAAAAAAAAAGAAAGCTAAATTCTTTTGGGTTTATGGTGAAATTTTAGAATTATCCCTAAAACAGTCCTAGAGCAACAGTTGGGACGAAATCGGCTGAAAATACATACATACCCTCTTCCAGGAAATATTCTGATGTAATTAGCTTCGGTTGTTCTTGGAACGAATCTCAAGCAAGAGTTGAGTTGGTAGTCATCAAAAGCATCATAAATAATTGATACGCTGGGCACTGAAATATTAAATTAATAAATAACATGCATCATTACAAGGGAGTTGTGAATATTGTGTTAAAAATATAGCTGTAATTTTTAAAATTGTAAAAAAAGTAGTTGTTTCAATGTTGTCAAAAACTGGAGATCAAATTATATTAAGACAATTTAAACATCAAAACTGTAAGTAGATGCTTTTTTATTTAAAGATTTAGCGATAGGAAACCTTTAATGAATAATTTAAGCTGTTATTTGCTTTTAAACCCACATCAAAACAGAGCTTTACAGTCAAATGTTATATTTTTGTGTGGAGAAAAGACTTAATGAATTTTAATCTATAAAAAATATCTTTCACCGGTTCAATGATTGGAAATCTGCGTCTGATTAAAGTAAATCAATATACTATTTTGGAGTAAACAGGGAGCTGTTAAAATTCCAAAATACATACTAGGCCTAGTTAAGCGCCATTGCCCGGTATATATTTGGCCGGTAAGCCCTACACCAACGTTTTATAAGGTCAAAAGTTACTGCCCGAGCCTCGATGGCTCAGGGGATAGAGCGTTCACCTTTCAATGCTGTGAAACGGGTTCGAATGCCAGCGATGGCTGCTCAATACGAAACCACATCTGGCTTGCACAGACCGCAGTGCTGACGTGGAATATCCTCAGTGGTAGACTGATCATGGGTTAGAGTCCCTTCGCCGTCAGGCTAACCGTGGTTTTCCTCTCCATGTAAACGCAAAAGCGGGTTAGTTCCATCAAAAAGTCCTCCACGAAGGCAAATTTCTCCCAATACTTGATCCAGGAGTTCCCTTGTCTTCTGGATTAGGTTTAAAGTTACAATGCTACGGAGTTGAACATCGGTAGTCGTAAACCTAAAAATTGGGTCGGCTGTTCAACGACGCTTATGAAGAGTCACTGCCCAATATGCATTTAACCGGTACTCCGGATACTGACCTAGTCTATCCTCAACAGATATTAAAATATCGAATAAATATAATAATATCATCGAATAAATTAATGTCATATCAGATATGGCAAATATTACACCAAAGCGATTATGTGATTGTTGACATTCACCGGTAAACGTCGACATTCTCTTGGTTTCGGTCATTCCCGGTACAAAAAGAGGAAAGGCAGTGGTATGGAGGCATACTATAGTTTGTCTAAAGTAAGAACTCTCCTAGCCATTCGTCTGGACCCATGGCGGTGACTATGGTAACGAGGTATAACTACTTCAAGTAGGGGTGTGGGGTCATTGCTTAGGACTGGTTTTGATTGGGGTCAGTGAGAGAAGGGGAAGCCTTAGACTGAAGAGAAGCTACCCTCCCTGAAATGCACTATTCTTGCTTCCATAGCAGCAGACTGCCTCAGACTTTGTGGCTGGGGGAGTTCTTACCGTGGACAAACTATAGTTTAATCACTGTTCACGTCACCTGACCTACTTTACGTTTTTACCATGGATGTTTGAAGATAGATCCCTGAAATGGGCGAGGTATTGGTCATGGTTGGGGGACGTGTAATGTAAATACGGGCACAGGTAATTCGTTTTGGTAATTTCGATTACTCGCTATTCATAGTTAGAAACTCTTAAATTTAACTAGAATCTGCCTTACTTAAGTATTCATCAATCACATATGGAACTTTCTTGTTTGTCCATCGTTTTTTCTCAGATGGAATGGCACTTCGATCCTAAAAAGAGTAAAAAAGTTGGCATTTAGAAAGTATTAGGATTTTCTAATCTTTTAAATGATTTTAGGTTTTTAAAAAAAATAACGAAATATTTATTCTATGCTTTTTAAGTGTANTTTTGATTTAACGAGGCGGTTTCTATTTAGATAATGAATTTTTATAAAAGTTCTTTGCGACAGAATAAATGTATTGCTGTTTTATATTAACTGTGTCATTTCGGAATCCATTCTTTACATAGTTGTTCATTTACTTTAGGGAACGCGTTTTTCCTTTTGTTTTTTTATCAGAATTTTTGCAAGTTGCAATCGCGAAAACTAGCATTTCGATAATAGTTTTAAATTTTTGTAAATTCACTGCTAAAACTGAGGAAAGTCATTATAGAAAATAACAAATGTCTTAGAATATGTCACAGAAAAAAATGCTCCAATATTAGTTACAGCTAGCAAGGTCGAACTCTCCGTTCTTGAAGTAAAAGTGCGAGCTTTGCGCCAAAGCGACGTCACTAGAGAAAATCGGAGGATTGGCGCGGCGAGAGTTTCTTCAAAGGAGTGAACCAGCCCTTCTATTCTCTTTAGCCCTGACTTCAAATAGGGGGTGTGGGGTCATTGCTTAGGACTGGTTTTGATTGGGGTCAGTGAGAGAAGGGGAAGCCTTAGACCAGTGTTTCCCAACCTTTTTTGTACCATGCCCCACTTAAGCCTTTCTAAAATTCTTATGCCCCCCTATGTAACATATACATAATTTTTGATATTAAAAAGTCGAATTGTTCACTTAAGGTTAAGAAACTTAGGAAATTGTTAGTGGAACAAAGTAAGTAAATTTTCAGAACATATAATGAAAAATTAAATTCGAAATAATTTTAATAAAGATTTTTCTATAATAATTTAATATTTTAATTTAGTGAGATTCTTGCCCTTGATGCCTGCTGCATGTAGATTTTATCTTAGGTTCCAATTTGGTTGGCTGCAGTCTCAAGTCTCCCCGTTGTGTTATATCCAGACGATTTCTTTTTTTTACCAATAAAATCATTTACAGCACTAAATCCACATTCAGCTAAATATGAAGATGGAATCGGTAACACTAGTTTTCTTGCGCATTTGATTGAATTTTGGTATTTATTTTCTGTTTCCTCACGAAGCCATGCCACCACTCCTTTCATATTAAATAAAGTTTTAACTGACTCATTATTTTGCATTTCTGCAAGTTCTTCTTGATATATTTGATATATCAGACAAATCCACTAACATGGACTGCAGCATCCATGTTGGAAAATAAATTTGTTTTAAATCAGAATATCTTTCTTTTAAATCAGCCGATAGAATTTTCAGATGATAGATAATAACAAGTAAAGTGGTATCATTTACTTCACATTTTTTGAGACAATGAAACTGTTCAAAGTTTTTGTTGTTAATATATTTCTGACATAACTCAATAAGGGTAATGAAGCCAAAGTAGGGTAATGAAGCCTTTGCTTTTGCATCAACAAGAGTTTTATTGGTTCCTTGAAGTTTCTTATTTAATATATTCAGTTTCTCAAAGATATTGGCTAAATAACTCACAAATGGTTTACCATCGACTGTAAACAGATACTTCATTTCAGGTTTGTCGCTTAAAAAATCCCTCAGTCACATAATATTTATTGACCGCAATTATTTAAGAATTTGCTTTTTTCTTTCGATTTTGTCACCGAAATCTCGCATTGCATTTAAATGGCCCAGAGCAAAAGGTTTAAACTCATGTCAAGTCCATTTTTGAATTGCCCCTCCCTTTTCAATCAAATTGCCCCCCGGTGGGGCGTGGGCCCCACGTTGGGAAACACTGCCTTAGACTGAAGAGAAGCTACTCTCCCTGAAATGCACTATTCTTGTTTCCATAGCAGCAGACTGCCTCAGACTTTGTGGCTGGGGGAGTTCTTACCGTGGACAAACTATAATTTAATCACTGTTCACGTCACCTGACCTACTTTACGTTCTTACCATGGATGTTTGAAGATAGATCCCTGAAATGGGCAAGGTATTGGTCATGGTTGGGGGACGTGTAATGTAAATTCGGGCACAAGTAATTCGTTTTGGTAATTTCGATTACTCGCTATTCATAGTTAGAAACTCTTAAGTTTAACTAGAATCTGCCTTACTTAAGGATTCATCAATCACATATGGAACTTTCTTGTTTGTCCATCGTTTTTTCTCAGATGGAATGGCACTTCGATCCTAAAAAGAGTAAAAAAGTTCGCATTTAGAAAGTATTAGGATTTTCTAATCTTTTAAATGATTTTAGGTTTTTAAAAAAAATAACGAAATATTTATTCTATGCTTTTTAAGTGTATTTTAATGAAGGAAATCATTTTATTTTGTCCACAACTAAAACGTCACACCTAAACCGAAACGTCACACCTAAACACCGTCACACCTAAAACGTCACACCTAGAAGCGAGTCACACCTAAACCGAAAACATGACGAAATCGCAGTGTCGATCAAAGAAGTCGACACACAGGCGCCAATGGCGACTGTCAGACTAAGAATTTCAAGAGGTGAGCTTCAAAGAAGAAAAAGATAACAATTTCAAAAATGAAATTCAATGACCGGTTGTCACACTTAGTTTTTAAAATTATATATTAAGAGCAATAATTACAGAATAACCTATGTAACATTTTTGATTCATTTTAAAACAAAGGGGATGATGGTCTTCAAATTGCACTTTAAAATTATAATGAAATTTGATGCACAGGTACCTAAACCTGTTGAACTATATTCTGCGGAGTTTCAGATCGGCGAATTTAAGTTGCTGTGGTTAGGGGAAATGAGAGGTGGGTTATTGTGTGAGAGTTAAAAGATAATTTAATCTAATATAAAGTTGCAAAGATTAAAGAAGTTTTTCATTAAATAATGCCTAAATACTTGATAGGTAAAAATGTTATTTTTTTAAATAATTTTCTGAGATGCAGCAAAATTAGGCCTGTGGTATTTTAAAAAATCTCAATAAAACCGTTGCTTAGCAACAGTAGCAAAAGATTTTGAAAGAATAATGCCTAGTTTTTCGTAATCGCCTTCTACGAAGAGAAATATCGCATAACTTTTCCTGAACACCGCAAAATGTTTCTTTTTTTATATAACTTTTCTGAAATATAAGAGAACTTAACTGACCAGGACACTCGGTTAATGAAATTTTGAAATTGGAGAAAAGGAATGGATCTGAAAAGATCCAAATTGAACGTACGAAATGTCCAATGCATTATAACTGTTTAATTTTGTGCTATTTACACCAAATCAAGCATTAAATTTGAAGTAATTCAATCAAATTTTTTTACAAATTTTTAATTCATGCGTTATTAGTTAAAAGACATACATCCAACACGGTGCCCAATTCTCCTCATACTGTGAACTCAGGGCTTATTAAAGTAAGTGTGTGAATAATTATTCTTTATATTGGATATTTGCCATAAAAATAATGATAGTTATTGAACATTTGTGAGAAAAACTAGCGTTACGTTACCTGCAATCCGTTGTATGTTTTGCTGTAAAAAGGTCAAATAAATTTTTATAAGGTACCATTGCTACTGAGGCATTATTTAATGGTCACCTATTAGTGTAGGTAGGTAATTTCGTGAATATATTTTTATCGACATGCATTTTATATTTTATTTTATGATCGCATTCGAACAGCCGACCCAATTTTGGGTCTACTAATGTTCAACTCTGAAGCCTTGAAATTTTAAATCCAATCAAAGAAGACTCCTGGATCAAGTATTGAGTGAAATCTGCCTTTGTGGTGGCCTTCTTGATGCAACTAACCCGCATTTGCGCTACATGGAGAGGAAAACCACGAGAACCTCCCACGGTTAGCCTGGCGACAAGGGGGCTTTAACCCATGATCCGCCAACCACTAAGGATATTTTATGCAGGCAGCCACTGTAGTCGATGCGAGCCGAGTGTGGAATTCGTATAGACCAGCCATCGCTGGGATTCGAGCACGGCTCACCTCATCGAATGCTCCCTCCCCCGAGCCACGTCGACATGTATTGACAAATCTTTACCACGTTTTGTTAGTGTAAATACACCCTTGTGTAAATTAATTGAAACAAACTTTTTTTTTCGTGTTTTTTAAAGAATATATTTTGGGGTTGTTTCGGTTACAATGGGGTTGGACCTTTGCAGCCTATTGACGGTATGATNGCGCTACATGGAGAGGAAGATCACGAGAACCTCCCACGGTTAGCCTGGCGGCAAGGGGGCTTTAACCCATGATCCGCCAACCGCTAAGGATATTTTATTCAACCACTGTAGTCGATGCGAGCCGGGTGTGGAATTAGTATAGACCAGCCATCGCTGGGATTCGAGCACGGCTCACCTCATCGAATGCTCCCTCCCCCGAGCCACGTCGACATGTATTGACAAACCTTTTCCACGTTTTGTTAGTGCAAATAAGTTAATAAACTAGAAACATTTTGTAAGAACATGCTTGAAATATACTCTAAAGACGAATGCATAAAAATAGTTTACCATATTTATTGAAAGAAAAAAATCCTACGACGTGTCTTAAACAATGACATAGAATTGATCAGCAGGTGTATTTTTGTTAAATTAAAAGAGGAAGAAAAAATAGTTTACTTGGGGATCGATGCCCAGTATGTCACCTTCGAAAAGGTCTGGATTGTACATGGCTTTACGGATCTTTTCTGAAACAAAACAAAGAATATATATCATTATACATATTATATAAAACGCTGATTCTCCCTCTTTTTCTTCGCCGCAGCACACTTTTAGCGATTTCGAAATTTGATGGCCCATGCAATAAAAAACTCTAAAAGTTGTTTCGTTACCTATAATACACTGTTTAAAATAGTTTACTTTAATAATATTGAATGTAAAATAAAATAAAATGTACTACATAAACAGTGCGTTAATTAAGGAATTAAATACAAGTTAAAAATACTTTAAAAGAGAAATTTAAGCTTCATGTTTTTTAATAATTCATTTATATTTAGTCGTAAAAATGTTTTTTTTTGTTAGTTATTAATTGTTATCTTGTTTTTTTAATTGTTAGTTTTTTTTAACTTTAATAGTTATTTTTTGTTACATTCCTTGTTAACTTGTTTTTTTTTTGCTAACAATTAATTGTTAGCTTGTTTTTTTTTGTTAGTAATCCTTTGTTAATTTCCTTTTATAACTATTAATTGCATAGCTTATTTTAATTGTTAGCTTTTATTTCCTTTTGTAAGTTAATATTTAGCTTGTTTACTTTTGTTAATTAAAAATTACAATAATCATTAAATTTCCTACTTTTTTAACATTTTAACAGGGCGGCCACCCACCTGGAAAACCATGAAAACCTGGAATTATCAGGGAATTTTTTTATACTGGAAAAAACCTGGAAATATCAGGGAAATTTGGATAAAAACCTGGAAAAATCAGGGAATTTTAAAGAAAAGCTGGAAATTTTTTCTATGATCATTTTTTTAATTTCATCAATTTAAATTATATACTAATTTTCTTAATTTAAATTATTTCCTCCATTATACCCACTTTTTTTAAACAGAAATGTATCACCAAACAGTTGAAATATCATCAACTTNAAAGAGTCGTTGAATAGAACTAGTGATCCTTCTACGACTGCTGATTCTTCTACAACTAACGTCGCAGGTTGCGAAGTTTAACTTCTTCCGTGCGGAGGGACTCCACGCTTTATTATTTTTTTTTTGCTTCTTTTTTTACATTTTGCGAATTTGGGAGAAACGTGAGGACTTGGAGCTGTTGTGTGCCTCAATACTGAAATTTAGAAATGTGAATTCATAGGAAACTATAATATTTAGTGGTTGAGGTTTAGTGGTTAAGAATGAGGAGGTTTATGAGCGTTAGCGAACGCTTAAGTCCAACGTTCAACGAACAGTTACAAGGGTCAAAATAAAGAGCAAATCACGATCACGTAGGGAGCCGAATTGCGAAATCAAGTGAAATAACAGAGTAAAGTAGGAATACAATGTAAAATTTAGATATAAGTTGTAGTTACACGCTCAGAATAATCCGGGCACTTAATATCCTGGGCTATCTTGAAAACTGGGAAAAATTCAAGTAAAAATCACTAATTTTAAACAAATTACAATTTCGAAAAAAAGAAAAAAAGCTAGCACCAATTTAACAAATAAAAATCGCTCATTTAGCATGCCAAACTACGCAACTTCTTTTTCAACTGATAGCAAATGTGCTCGCATCGTATTTTTTAAACAGAAATGTAACTGTCAATAATTCTAGAAATAATCGTCGAATGTTTTTCTTTATTCTGTTGTACTTTCTGCATTTTTTTCTTTATCCCATTGTATTTTCAAATTTTTTTTAATATAGTTTTTAAGTATTAAAAATTTTAAGTATAGTGAAAAAAAGTGAAAAAAAATTATCTCGAATAGAGCACTTAAAATTCCAATAACATTAAAACAAATCAGAATTTTGAAAAAAACAATCATTCTAAGTTCGTTAACAGATGTCAACACGTCAAGTTTCGACTCAGTAGTTGCATTTATGTTGTCTGTAAAGCGAACCGCATGACATTTTTTGCTACAAGCTTAACAATTAATAATTGCTGAACTAATTATCGAATGTAAATATCTTTCATTTCATCATACTCCTTGTATAATTTTCGAGACATCTTCGAAATGTTAAGTTTAATACTTATTCTGTGTAAGAATGCAAGATGTAATCTTAAGTTGAACAACCAAAATAGCGGCAACAGCGGTGTCCACCATGGTTTTATATAGACTATTAGTTAAACCGTGAGAAGTAATTTAAAGATGAATTTATTAGTTTGATTTATATTACAAAACATTTTAACATCGAAGTATACTTTATCATTTTACCGTAATATTTTGAACTATATTATGACCGTTTATTTTATTTAAAAATCTTCTACTGTTGTTTTGTAGTCACGTATTAAACAGTAAAACAACACAAAAATTAAACAAAAAAGGGGGGGTCGATACACTATAATTTATATAAAAAGAAATAGTGTTTAAAAACAAGTGTCCTGTCTTTTGTTCGGCTGAACACAATCCTGATTGCTTATTTCTATCATCATTTTTAAAACATTTATAGTGGTATTCAATCCAGATTATTATTTATTTAAAATTATGACATTTAAAAGCAGTTTATTCAACGAACTCACCTGCATTATGACTAAGACCAGAAGATATTAAAACTGTCAAAAAGCATATTATTTTAAGTACCATGATTGTTTGTAATAGAACTTAACCTGATTGAACGAAAACGACCTCCAACTGTTTCACCTGGACGAACGATAGATTATTTGAAAAGATGAGAAACAAAACATCTGTTTATCTTTTTAAAAATATTTTAACGTCATAAAAAATATAATTCATAAAAGTTTTGTTCAGTGAAGCTTTGAAGTTATCTATGTTAAGGTTTTTTGGAAAACGAATTATAAAAGTGGAAAATAAAGTGTGTTATAAGGCAGCGGTTCCCAAATGGCGTTTCGTAGAACCCTAAGGTTCCGTAATAGAGCCACAGGGTTTCCGCGAGTAAGAGCTTCTTTTAATCAGTTAAATCCCGAGAAATGTAATTAAATTTGTATTCGATTCGCATTATTTATTTATTATTTGCGTAATTTTTATTAAATTATTCAATTAAAATGCTCGTAAAGGAAGAAAAGCAAATTTTAAAAAACAATCATATAACGATATATTGAATGGACATTTAAAAAGACGCATTTATAAAATAGTGCATTAGTATTTTACATAAAATAAAACTCACCGAATTCCACAATGAAGAAACATGTATCTCTAATTATTATCTTCCTTTTTTTGTTTTTGTTTCAATGGAGACCACATTTTAGTTCATGTATGTTCAGTATATATGTTACCGTGAATGATCTAAATCAAGAAAATGTCAACATTCACCACTGAATGTCAACAATCGCATAGTGAATGTCCCAAAATATTTGTTATATCCAATTTTATATTAATTTATTCATTGATATTACTATATTTATTGACTGGGTGGCGTCTGCCTTCTGAGCCCAAGTCTGTGGGTTCGATCCCCGGCACAGACACCGGATTTTCTGGATGCAGAAAATCCTCAGCGGCCATGTCATATGATTATGCGGCATGTAAAAGATCCCTGGAGTGCCTTATTGGCTCTTGGCATTTCCGGCAAAATTTAATTCCTAGTGCACTTTAGCATCCAAATAGAAACTCGGTGCTGCCATCTAGTGTGGTAGAAACTAGACGTCCAAATTAACATGACCAACGGTATCTCACTCATTGTGGTGGTCCTGAAAGAGTGGATACCACCTCTGAAGAACTCACTAGGTCTGCTCATCGGCAAGACTGATTGTGCAGCTCATTGGGAAAAAAAACTATATTTATTCGATATTTTAATATCTGCCGAAGACAGATTAAGAGTAACATCAGTCTTAGGAGTACCAGGCAAATGTATACCTGACAGTGGGACTGAACCTTAAAAAAACCTCAGTATAGGGCATACCAGGCAAATGTATACCGTGTAGTGGCACTTAACCATATATATTTCGGACATTTACCAAAACGACTCTGTGATTGTCAACATTCATAGGTAGATGTCAACAACCACCAGTTTCAGTCATTCACTGTAACATAATACACACACTGAAATCAAATTAGAAGACTAGCAGCTCTCGAAAGTCTCGGGGTTCATCCAAAAGAGGGTCTATCATTTACGGTTCCATGTTCGAAAGAATTTGGGAACCACTGTTATAGAGTATAAAATGTTTATATTATTTTAGATATTTTATTTTCAAAATCAAAGTACATCAAAAAGTGTTTATAGATAGAGTTAAAAAAAAATAGTGCGTGGAGTCCCTCCACGTGGAAGAGGTTAAACTTCGCAACCTGCAACGTTAATAGTAGAAGAATCAGCAGTCGTAGAAGGATCACTAGTTCTATTCAACGACTCTTTTTCCTGCTCCGCTCGCTTCCGTGCTCTGTAATCACGGTAATATTGTGCATTTTTCCCTCGTGGACCTCTTGAACCAGTGGAAGTGCTTGTGGTTGCCTCATCGTCTCGCCCTGGAAAATGTATTTGTATTAATAATGTATGTGAATGCGTCATAATGTAATTTCAAAAGAGAAA